CTCGGGACTTTTGGGTGAGGTGAGATCAAGTGAGTTGAGGTAAAATAAGTTGAGGTGAGTGCAAGGTAAGGTGTTACTTGCTTTAGTTTTTCTTCATCATAAAGTTTTTGGTTTGTAAGTACTAAATACCTTAACACTTTAGTGGGAATATTTTGGATCTCTAAGGCACCCGTGTACTTTAGATCAGAGTATTTAGTGTCTACTAATTACTTAAATACTTTTTACTCCAAATACTAAGTATTTCAGTAGTTAGTACCCAAATTGGTACATTAAATACAATCATTTTTAGGTCTGCATGCCCATCACTACTTTGAATAAATTGAATTTAAGTCTTCAGTAATTTGTGCAACGGGGAACTGAAATTCTTAATGCCAATATTAAAGCAACCGCCCATCCGCCCATCCGCTAAATTTGCACTTTAATTACTTCCTTGGACCAAGTAAACACATCGAATAGTTGCTGTCATCTTGTCACTACGTAGCGGTCGATGACTTGTAACAACAGCAGCTGCTGCAGTGGCCATCTTCTTGACGTGCGCGATAAGAGGAAAAACGAATTGACGTGGTCAGTGGACACAACGTCGCAACGACATCGAGCGGAAACGGAAACGGCGAATGGTGGAACGGCGTACGACGGCACACACAGCCGTTGGCGAAACGGAAGCGATGAGATGACAATAGCAAGCAACAGCAACAGCAGCAGCAGCAGCAGCAGCAGCAGCTGTGGAGATGACACAGGCCAAAGCAGCAACAGCAACTAAAGAAGGCAGCATTTAAAGAGTCTCGACACTCGCCGCTGTTATTGGGCTACAAGCTGTGGATAGCGAACAGCTGGACTTTGGGTGAACGCAGCGACAAAATTCGCATGCGCCGCCTGTGCGCTTGGCGAACAGTTTCATTTGAACGCCGCAGGCTTGGTTCTTTTATTTAATGCGACTGGAAAAGCATTAATGAAAATTTTATGGCACACAATATATTGTTCTGCCGTCTTTGTTGTGCGTTTTTTTGCTGCAAAATCATTTGTGTCTGTGTGTGTGTGCTTGGCTGTGTCTATGCGCATAAACAAAAGTGAGTGAAAAAAAAACTGCCAAAAAAAGGATTCACTGAAGTCTCTATGCCCACCTACTCCTCCTCCTCCTTCTCCTGCTGGAAAAGAAGTACGCGAAAAGTTAATTTTTACCTCGCTTCGTCCACCAATTTCCCCACACATTTTGGTTGCCTTTGCTGTTAAATATCATTATTTGCGTATTTTTTTTTTATTGTAATGTTGTTGCATGCACAGTTGTTTTTGTAATTAGCGCGACCATAGCCCACGGCAGCCAGTGAAAATGGCAGCCGGCTAAAGCAAGTTACCGTAAAAGTAGAGAGCGAGCAGCGGGGAGCGGGAAGTGTGCGCGCTTAAACCTGTATAACAGGATGAATAATTTGCTTTTGCTGTTCTTGTTGTTGTTGTTACTGTTATATGCAACTTAGCGCTGCTCTAATACTGCTCTCGTTGTTGTTCTTGTTGTTCTTGTTGCTGTTGTAGCTGTGCCACACTGTTGGCGGGCGATTCAACGCGCAAGTAATTAATAAACATTATTTGTGTTGTTAATTGTTTGTGTTGATGTTAATTTCGTTACTCGCATTTTGCGCTTTACGCTCATTTTTCCATTTCAACCGGATGCTTTATTTTTTTATTTTTTTTTTATATATTTTTTTTGTATCGTTTTTCCATCTCGCCTTTGTAAACCTTTCACATTCATTGCCATCACATTGCAACTTCTGAATTCCATTTCGAATGCTATTTTCACAACCATTTGCATTTGATTTCTCTCTTTTTCTTACTCGTTTGTTTGCTAACAGCTCGTAAAACAAAAACGAAAAAAAAGAAATTATAATTAACAAAAGTTGGATGAATGGTGGCAAGTAAGAACTTTCAATAAATGTTTGCCGGAAAACGTCGTCTCGTCGTGAAGTATGTACAAGTATATTCGCCAATTTAAATCTGAAAAGTGCCTTTTTATGGAAGCGTTCTGTGAAATTTAAGGTTGAATTACTTGAGTTGTTTACATAATTATAAAGAATTTGAATTTAATAATTTCTCGGAAAGACTTCAATATAAACAAGTGAATTACGCAAGTCACAGTTGAGTGAGAAGAGTGGGAGAAGGAGGTTAGATGTGGGAAATGTGGACTAAAATTCGAAAAATATGAAAATAAGCTAACATCAAATGACAGATGAAAACCCATATATAAAGTTGTAAATTGGTCCAAAATCACCAGGAAAAATGTCAACTTCTTTTGAATAAAATTGTTCAGGCCCTGTTGCTTAACCGGAAAAATAGTTGAAAGCCCCTACAAGTCAATAAAAACAACCTGGCTATAAGCGCACAATTTTCCAACCAGTCACAGAAGACAGGATTAAAAATGAATTACAAAAACGAAGATCGAAAAACGCTGATGACGTAGCAGGCTCTCCGAATTCTGAAACAACCAAAAGAATTGGTGCCATGATGCTAGATTGTGAAGATGAAAGTCAGGAGGATACATCCGTCATATGCAGCCTTGATGCAATTCCCAAAAAGGAATTATTGCGATGAAATAAAAAAAGAAATATAACTGAAAGACCTCTCAACTGGTACAGCGTCAATCGAAAAGAATTTACAATTTTGTCAAGTTTCAAGTTTTTCAAGTTTGTCGCCTCAGTTATTTAGTGGCGCAGGTTTGATTTACGACCCTTTAGGAAACAGGCGGTAACCCGAAAAGGCAGCAAAATTACTCTTTCTTAAATACAATTGAAGTACTCAATAAAAGCGTTATCAAAAATTTATAACTTTTCCATTTTTTATTTACCTAAATCCCCTAATGTAGTCACCAAAATTATTTCACAAAAATATTTGAGATCCGCATTCGCATTCGCATCCGCGGATGTCTAAAATTCCACATTCGCAACATCCCTAATATGTAGATAGAGCAGTTTTATAAAAAACTCATATATGAAAAATTTGTGGCATGGAAGATAGAGCATCGATTGAAATGATTTCCTTACTGTTTTATCTGACTACGAAAAGGAGTTATATAGAAGAAACTTGTATTTGAACAGTCAGCGGTATAAAAGATATGAAATTCATTTTTATTATTATTAGTGAGGTAGTCGCTTTGTTTCTCTCATCTCGCCATTTGACGTTCATAATAGAAAAACTCTTTCTGTGAATGCCGAAGTTGCAGGAATAGAGGGTAGGAACGAAATAATTTTAAGTAAATTTGGTAATTCATTCTTTTTTTTAATGTTGAAATTTTTGGTCTGTGGTTCTATTAATAAACTCAGTATGATTTTTTATTTTAAAGAAATTTTTTT